GTTAGTCCATCCCCTTCGACGTCTCTTTATTATTATTCTTCTTCTTCCTCCTTCGATGACCGCGATAACAAATATCGACACACGCTCCTTTATTATTCGTCACCTTTATTTCGTCACTTGTTGTTACACCATATGTATACATATATCTGCATAAACGATGCTTCTTTCTGATATTAACTTTGCCGAAACTTGTGTCGCGCTCTGATACAATCCTATCGCGACCCGCGGTTTGATTCATCCCTCGGGCACGTTTTCACGCGTTCCATCTGGCGGTTATCGTTGTCGTTCTTCCGTGAAAATAAAAAAAAAAAAAGAAAACAAAAAAGGAAAAATAACGTTTCGGGAGCGAACGATTCCCGCCTCGATATTTTTGCTTATCAGTCACGCTCGAATTCTATAGCTCCACGCCGAGTTAGGTTTCATTCGAAATTATTCCTTGTCAAGGTTTATAAACACGTAGACGCAAGTATCTCGCTAGAAAGAACATTATACGTATATCTAACCGTAACCAATTCTATTCTAAATGTTGTCTCTCTGAATTAGCCAGTTTCAAATTCTAATCTCTTCGTTACACAAAAATACCAGAGAAACCGATTTTAAATCGACGTCGAACTAGGAAAACATGAAACGCTCTAACTGTATGTAGTATACATAACAAACTGGGTTCGGTTGAAAACGAGTATCTAAGGTGTCTCGGTGATAATCGAGGGCGAGAGCGGGCCAGCGGTGTTTCCGGTGGCCGGCCAGACGAAAATCGGACGAGATACGCGTGCACGCGCGTAAAGAGACGCGGGCGGAAGCGCACACGTGGCACCCACGTGGAGAGGCGTTCCCTTCCATATCATTCAGAGATAGACGCGCGGAATAACACTTTTCGAATTCAACATCCTTTGCCCCGGCACAACACCGCGTACAGTTTATTGATCGCGGTGATCACGCGGTGTTCGCCGCGAGGCGCAGACGCGACCTCGACGACGCCATGTTCGCCATGCCGCCGCCACGCTGTCGTCCATCCCCTCTCGCTCGCGAGATCTCGACACCCCCCCCACCCAAAAGGGGACACCCTCCCTCTCTCTCTCTCTCTTTCTCTCGCTCTCTCTTTTTGTCCGGTTGAATTCGCGCCGGAGTATCGCGTGCACCCACTCTTCATTTCGATTCGAAAAGTTCACGTTGCATCGTGCTTTAATAATTTGTTACAATCGGGGTAGATTTTTTTTTTTTTTAGATTACATCCTAATGATATTCGTTGACATTAGCCGTTTGTGGGTAGCCTTTCACGAAGATTGCAAGTTTTTCCTGCGATCTTCATGAGGATGTTGATATGTACAGTTAGTCTGAAAAATATTCGGATACCATGTAGGTTTGCCGTACTAACGATGTATTTCGGTTAGTTGTAAGAGGATTAGGCTGATACGTCGTTTATTTTATACTTCGGGATTACCCTGGAGTTAAATAAATGTGGGTCAATTTCCATCCAAGTTCGCAGGTTGACGCAAGATCCTAGATTCTTGGTTCAAATATGAACATAAATTTTCATTGTTTTTACTCCGATAGATTTACGAATTGTCGATTCTTGTTTAATTGTAGAAGACTTGGTGCTCTTTGTTGCAAATTGAGAGAACAGTATTACACTGAGCAACCCTTAAAGTGTCCTCGGTACTTCATTCAGGAAGATCAAAGCTCACAATCTTCTTCCCCTTGCAACACATTAGAAGATTCCCCATTTTAATCTTCTTGCTCAGTCCCCAGACTTACTGAAATCTGCCTCCAGATAACCGACGTGTATCCTCTTTTCTCACAATTATTGCTACAAAACCGAAGGAGCACTCCTGAAAACGTGTACACTAGATATGAGGAATAACTGTTCAAAAAATTGAACTACTTGGAAAAGTTTTTGCGTCGAGGTAAAGGATGTTGAATTGGAAAAGTTCTTCGCTTGTTCATTCCTCAGACTCGCTACAATCTTCCTCTAAACAACGCACGTTCAACATTTTACAAAATCGCAGAAACACCCCTCACAATGTGAACACTGGCGCTGATCCTTTAGTACTCCAAAAATGATCGTGCAACAGATGTTGAATTCCCAAGATTGAATTCTTCACTTGTTCAGTCCTCGTACAAATCTTCTTCAAAACGACATACATTCAACATCTTCCTCAACACTCCTACGAAATCAAACACCCCTCGCAATATGGGCATTGACAATACACACATGTTCCAAAAATTCAACCACTTTCCTCCCTTCTAACAAATTCATTCGTGAAAAGGTTAATCAACTCCTAAATCTCCGACCTAGCGAAATGACTTCTCCGATTCCCGTTGGTGTACATCAGTAAAGAAGGTCAAGACAGGGGGTTTGGCATCGGGGTGGGGTTCGAAATAAGAAAAGCAAACTCGCGTTCAGAGAGGACAAACATTTCTCTCAGGTGGAGCGGGCCTCTTTTCTCACCCCCTCTTCCGTCGTCTTCGCCTTCATCTTCATCTTCGCCGTCGTCGCCGTCGTCGTCGTTCCTTTTGTACGCCGGCAAAGGCGTAAAGATAATGTCGAGGAGGGGCCAGTAACTATTCTGTAGCCAGTCGAAGCTCTCTTCCTTCCTCCCTACTTTTCTCTGTCACTCCTTTGCGAAGCTTCGCCGTGTGCAAGGGTCGCGTAAAAGGTTGAGATGGGGGAGAAGCGTCGAAGAAAAGAGGTGGCAGTGGTAAAGGGTTTCGTCGAGGAGACAATGCTGCGAGGAGAAGAAGGGTTCGATCCAGTGCCCTTCAGATTAGAGTCCCGCCATTGTTTCCCACGTTTCTTTCTCGCTCGTTTCCAAGTGTCTCGGTGTCGTCTCATTAAAACACGTTCGAAAGTGGCGCGCGCGAGCACAGGTGGGCCCACCCCTTTTTCCCCTTGTGAATTTTAGCTGTCTCTCCTGGAAAATGGTCCGTGGATCTTCGATTCTCAAGAATAACATTCCACGATAAATTACGATAGCAAACTTTTTGGATGGAAATTGTTTTTCAACGTTCACGTAGGAATGTGGAGAAGTGATGTTTCTAGGGTCTCTGTGAGTATGCTGATTAAGCGTGCTTTAAAGCGTCTCCCCTTGGTCCATGAACGTGGATCGTTGAATCTCTAAATAAAAATTTCACGATAAATTTCTTTTTTCGAAATTAATTTTTTCGGTGGAAATTATCTTTGAACGTCAACGTCGGGTGCGTGAGCATGTAAGGAGCTGATTAAGCGAGCTTTAAAGTGTGACCAAGAAATGGAGAAATTTCTTATTTCTTTTTTTAATTAAGATGAAGATTATTGTCTCTAGATATTGTTGCTAAATATTGAACAATTTTTCACACCGAACCCTCAATCTTTCTTCATACTCAAGTGTTTCCTCCCCTTTTTAAGACATAAATTGCAATCTATTATAAAATACTCTTGCAATCTTAAACCACACCGGTCGTAAGTTTCCATTAAATTTACCGCCACGTAACAATTTTGTCCGTCAATTTTCCCCTTTAATTTCGTCAAATACGTTCTCGCGAATCGGAGAACGAAATTCACTCGGTGAAAATCGAGTTTTTCCATTCTACTGAAAGAAGCGATCGCGTCTAAGAATGCTTTGCGACTCGTGCACGGCCACTGCATACGGCCTCGTAAATGATTCAGAGCGAGGATCGATGGGAAAGCGGTGCTAATTCCAGTCCCCGTATCTTCGGCTCGTACGCTCGCAATAATAGACACACACGGTTGTAGTAATAGTCGTATCGATCGAGTCGCGACTCTGACTGAAGAAACACGCGTTTCGCGTTCGCCTTTTTTTCTGCCTCATTCCCTCGTCGAACCTTTTTGATGCACTTCTGCGGTCCTATCTTACACAATTCCCAATTTCGACACCTAATTGTCAGTTGGTCTACTACCTTCCAAATTCAGTACAGAAAATTTTTTGTTTTTTATTAAAATTCTAATATTAATTTAAATACCCAAGTTTTCGTCGAACTTTTGTAATTATAATAGAGAGTTCAACTAGATAGGAATATGATAGAAAATTTACGCAAAATGATAGAATCTATTGTTTTCTCTATTACAAAAAAAAATGCACTCGTTTCTGTCTGATTTTTTTCTCTCGTGTCCAATCTGTTCGCAGATCGCGAAACGTCATTAGCGACCTCATTACCGTTCGACGCGTAACCTTGCCGCGACTTTTTCCTGAAGGAAACGAGCCTCTAATTTAAACTTCATCAACTACACCAGTGGCACACGTTTCACAGCACAAAACTTCGAACTTCTTTTTTTCTCTCTCTCCGTGAAACGAATTTAAGCGACACTTTCTGTTTTATGTTAAGTATTCCACGTATCTGCTCGGTGTTTTCAATTTTTATGAATGAATCAGACAGGTGAATGAGTGTTGGAAATATTGTTAATTATCGTGGCGTTAGTTTCTGGTCGAAATTCGTTTGGTAATGACCGTCTCTGGCCCGCTTCTGACTGTCATTTGCGTTTAATCGCGTCCGCTGGTGTTATCGATCGTTAAAACGGGTCAGGTACATTAGTTACAGAGCCAACGGGTCTCCCGTGTCCACTTATTTACTTTTCCCCACCAAGATATGTGATTATACGTGCCTCGTAACTACGTCTCTGATTTCGGTGCCGCGAGCGGCCCGCTTTGAGCTCGCGTGCCGACTGTGCGTTACGCGATAGATGGAACTCACCGCCTGGGTAGATCATTTTTCCAACGTGATTCCTTATTTCGGGTAATGATTTTGAGAATCGCGGAGACGCGCGGTTTTTCTTTAGGTACAGTATCTTGGATTGATAGGAATTTTTGAGCGATTTCAGTTTGGAGGTCCTGGGGAATTAGGGTCCATGGAATCGAGGCCTTTCAGTGCTTCAGATTCGAAGACTTGGAGGGTCTCAAATTTAGAGATTTTAAATTCGTCAAATTTGGAAAATTTGAGCTCTTTAAATTGGAGAAATTTTGAACACCTCAAATTTGGGTATTTTGAGCGCCCGAGAAGTGGAA